AAAGGAGCCCTTGAAACAATGATTAACAATTTCTTTATGTAACGGCTTGAGAATTTGAATTAGCCATTTTGCTAATGTGCGGTTGGCTGATTGATCTATGACCAATGCGTTTTGATTGTTCGTAGAGAAAAGGTCAGGGTAAATCGAACATATCTTACATCGATGCTCAGTTTTACTAAAATAGTCCCATTTGTCAGTCGCTCCTAATAATATGCTCCATTTGACGGTAGCTCTTATTAGTATGAACCTTTTTTATCTGTGAACTTTTTCATTAGCCCTTTTGCTAGCGCCCTTATCAGCGTGAATCTTTGGATTATTTGCTATATATTATCTGCTGAAATGAAATGTAAAATGAGTCGTTTTTTTATAGGGATTTTTTCAAAATCCTGGCGTATATTATACAAGATTTATCTCTGAGTCTCTTCTCATACTGCTCAATTTTTTTCACAAACAAAAGCTATTGATCTATACGGTGAAAAAAAATTGCATGCAAATCACTCGAGCGAACAGATTGTTAATAACACACAATATGCTTTTTTTAACTTATTTTCTTAATTCACTTATGTTACGGAAAAACCAAAGAATAATAGAATAAGAATGGGGAAACAAAACGAATTTTATACTACAAGTATGTTTTTTAACTTCTGATTTATTATTTTTGATGTAAACGGATTAGCGGAATGGAACGTGGAACATTTATGCGTAAAAGTCACGAATAATTTCTGACAAAAATTCATAGTCATAAAAACTCAAATATAAAGGGATGGAAAAAATAAAATCTGATTTCCACTCAGATAGTACTAGATAAAAGTCAACATTCATTGTATTCTACAGACATAGTCTAATATTTAGAACTGATATTGCTGAGTCATTTTTTTTAAAGGCTTTTAGATACATATGGAAAGGGTTTAGTTTCGTTGTCTATGTGAAAGTGTCAATTTCCATAGACGTATGAATGTCCCAACTAACTGAAAATGTCACCAAGCCTCTTACCTAACATACTAATAGAATAATATTCATACTGATATGTTTATACTCTGAAAATAATATCAAAGGTGATAACAACTTTAATGAAATTTAAAGTGAAAATCGCTGACATTATTTTATTGAGCATTTTCGCGTACTGAAAGGTCTATATTTATAAATATTCGAGGAGAATGATATAATGAAATATATAAACTAACTTACTAGTTTGTGACTAGATATTTGATTATTTGTACAACGTTTATCATAGGAATTTTGTTTGATAAATAAGTAATTGCATCAAGTATGTTTATAGTTAGCGTCACTATGTGATAAATACTGTATTAATTTAACCTGTTTTCTTGATTATCACTGTTTCATCAACATAGTTTTAAAATGGGTCATTTTCAAAGGGTTGTTTTGTTAAAGTATTAGTTTAATGTCGTATAAATTACGTTTACATTTTTTTGTTGTGTAGCGGAGATATCATTTATCATAGAATAATGTCTATCATTTATGTTGTGTTTGACAAACACATTTTCTTTCACAGTTCGCAATATATTATAAGTAATTCTGTTCTAATATATATGGAAAAGTAGACTTGAAAAAGTAACACTGAACACCGACCTTGAGATTCTGTTTGCAATTATCTCTCGTTCATTAACGTAAATTTCCTGCTTTTATCTCTTCTAGTTATTAAAACAGTCTGCCTATTTAATTATTAGTAAAATACAACACATGGATAAGTTAGCAACATTGAAACTTGTTTCATTTAATCCCAAACAATGAGTGAATTAGTGTTAGTTGTTCATGTGAACGTTCAACCAATAAAGATTTAATTATTGTTTGAATATAAGTAAATCAAAACTCAAAGAGTTAAATTACAATTTATCTTTGTACGCCATCAAGAATAACTGAAAGTGACAAATTTTGTATTGCAAAATTCCTAATACTTTTTTAAAATATCCGCTATAATAATCTATAAGATTGGTTAAAATCTTGTCTATTCGTTACATATCTCCTCATAAAAAAACAAACTTAGCAATAAGTTTATCATGTTTTTCCTTCTAGAAAATATCAGGTGGGTTGATTAAATTATGAAATAAGTAACATTTCAAGTCAGGAATTCAAATTGTATCATAGAATTTGCAATAAAAACAAAAATACTTCACTGATTACCAGTGCAACTATGAACGTCTATTGTGACGGGGAATTATTCAAGTCAACTGATTTTCGGTCTGCAACATTTCATTTTTATTGTTTAAAAGTACCTATTAGTTAGTAAGTAAGCTTTTTTGTGCTGTTTCTAGTTGGCATCACCATCATTCTTCTCTAAGATATCAACAAAGCTTGGTAGAATAGATCCGTAGTTTTAATACAGAGCTCAGTCTTTAATAATAAGCCAAACGAAATGATCGTTACTAGACACAATTTGATATTGATCAAAGACTACGGGCAGGCTGAAGTAGACGTTTAAAAGTGTCAAAACAATGTTCTTCACTGTTAATAGATGATCAATCATAAAAAAATTTGTAAATATCCATGAGCAGCTTGGATTTTATGAAACAAATACTTAAATTCCTTCATCGAATGATTTTACTAATATTTACTGAAAAATATTTATAATATTTATCATGAATTGCGATGTAAAATTTGATAAAATATTGGAAATGACTTAATTACTGTAGTGTCTGAGACTACTACTGTCCAAAGTGTTAGATTGATTATTCGTAGACTAGGTGTCCACGGTAAATTTTTTTTCAATGACTTTGGACACTTCTAGTTGACAGTCGTCAAATGTTTGTTTTTGATAATACTGTCTATTAAGTGATGAGATGAATTTGATTCGTAGCAGTGGATGGAATTCTCACAAAACTTCTAACATCAGCTATTAAAGTGTACCACTATATTAATTATGATTTGTAAATACTTTGAATTTATACTATGATGAAAAAAAAACTGAAGTTTAACGATCATCTGAAACTGTGAGATAAATAATCAAAATAAATAGACATAACATGGATTGAGAAAAATGACAATGTAATAAATAACACATTAGATCAAATATCTGCTGGAAGACGATATGACTTCAATACGAAATAATAGAACCAACTGAGTGTTAATTAAATTCTTCATGAGTTTACAAGACTAATAACCACGATCACAATAATAATAATAATAATAACATTGAAATAAAATAAATACAACCGACTAAAAATACTTCGCGATAGACGATATGTACTTTAATAAAACAGTGAGAAGATATAATTTATCTGACAAAAATGTGATGCATTTGCGCTATACAATTCGAAAAATCTGGTCACACATATTTACTTGTTAAGGCATTTTATGTGAAGATTAATAAAAGGTCAATTTCAATAAAAGTTCAAATAGACATAAGGTGATAATTGTAAATAAAGGAGAGAGAGAAAATTAACGTAATATAGAAAGGATAAGAAAAGGTAGGAAATTGTCACATAACCCTAGGCTGAAAGACTATCGGGTAAATTCAAGGTTATAAAAAAATTTATCACATTTTTCAGAACAAGTACGTCTTCTCACTGTTCTATCAAAATTTAGAAAAAGGACTAATTGTTTTAGATATGTACTTTAATTATGAGGATAAATACTGAAATACTGGAGGTTGGCCATGTTAAGAGAAAAGGTAGAACATACTTCTTTTGTGTATAAAGCATTCGATTTTTACCCGGATATGTATTGTCTCTTTAATTTGAAGGGCTTATAAGTTTCACCGATTTCAACAAATTACTAAAGGTATAAATTAATAGAAGTGAGAGATATGTGTGGGCACTATGACCAGTTCGTTCTAAATAGGCGACTATTAGACAGTTTACTGTTTTAACTACGCCTTGACGTTATCTGGCCGAAAGGTTTTCACAAGCACAAAAATGTGATCTCATAAAACATTTTTTCACAATAACATTGGGTTGGATAAGTTTGATGAGTCCCATAACAGGACGAAACGGCCGTCCAGTACTCCCAGGTTTCTAATGATGGTTTAACAATGATTGATTGATGATTTCAAATGTGTAAAAACACTAATCTCCATAACTCTAATCGAAAATAAAAAAAGTCATTTATCTTTCAGTTCCAGTGCTACCATTAGATGTATAGAAAACATCAGGTGTAGTTTTCTTGCACTGAATGCTTACTGCGTAGTTTTAAAGAGCCTAAGTACTATCATTCTCCTGAATATGTCATTTGTAAACAATGAGCGCATAAACAGCTGTATTTTTACCAGCTGTTTGAAATTTCTATTCTGTTTTTTGGCTGTGTTTGTAATATAAACTTAACTAGCAACCTACTTTTCGGTGTATTGTCGTTGGCCTATCTTATTCCAGAGATAACCTATCCTCGACACATATATCTTGCATTAGTTTCCCATATATTCTTTAACTTAGCGGGTCCATAACAATGAAACGCTAAAAGTCGAGATGCCAAATTTGATTAAGAATATTATATTTCGATCATTCATTCAAGCGAAGAAGAAGTGCAAGAACAGCAGGAATTAGTTTATATAAAAATTATACATTTTGATTACAATGAATCGCTCTGCAGGTTCACACAAGCGAGCGATCATATTTGTATGAAAATAGCTCAATTATAAGTACTGACTTCAAATTAGTTATCAACCAAATCTCATTAGACGGGTAAGGGAAGTTAGATATATGAAGACATAAATTATCTACTCATCTCTAAGTTTCTTCCGAAATCCAGCTGTGTCATTCTCTATTTAGTTACTGTAATGTTTCAGATCAGTTAGTTTCTGGAATTTTAATTTGCCATAACTCATCTGAATAGCATTCATTTTTGTCAAAAAGAACAACTAACCCTTCATCAGGGTTCGTACTAATCAAATGTATGTCTTTAACAAGTTCATAATTATACTTGTTATACTTTACGAATAGGAACAGTTAGACGAATATGATTTGAACAGTTTTATTTCTTCGTCGAAAGTCAGAACCATGATTTAAAAGATGTTTTCATTAAATTTCTTCCATCTAAATTTTCTACAGGTCTGCCTTTCGAACTTCAAACCGTTCTGAATGAATCTTATCCATGGAGAATGGGGACGGTGTTTTGTCGATTCAGAATCTTTCTAACTGAATTATGTCCATTAGTGAGTATACTGATATTAACAGTATTCAGCGTTGAACGTTATTTATCAATCTGTCATCCATTTCGAAAAACTTTACGATTTTCACAATACGATGCTGGACATCCATGCAATCGTACTTCATATACACACAATATCAATAGTAAAACATCTCATAGCAGTGAAAGAATATTATCAAAAGTAATGAATTCACAAATGAGAAACAGTATGCAAATCTATTGTTTAAAAGATCAATCACATTATAAACGTGGCCATACTCCATTCATGGCACAAATCACTGCACTGAAATCATGTTTTTTATTAATTTTCTGTGTCTGGATTATTGGCAGTTGTTGTGCCATAGTAATTGCTGGATTGTCAACAGTATTTTATGCTGTTACTTTGCCTACTATTGAAGCATTCTTAAATAATACATGTACTGATCAGTATCACACTACATTGATACAATTTTATCGAACATCGGATTGTTTATTAAACAATGAGTTGTGGACACCAGGTGAAGCCTTACCCGATTCCGCAGTATGTGCACCATCCAATGTGAGTTATGAATAAATTTTGTCAATAAAATATGTTTTCCTTATTATATATGTATTTGACATATACAATATACTGAAGTCGGAATTTGAATTCTGCTATTGATTTTTTGTAGAATTATTTATGTAGGGTTGATGTACAATCATTTTGAAAGTTTATGTTTGACATGTAAATTAATTTTTCAGTTATTTAATACTGTTTATCAGTGTAAATATTAAATAATGTCACTTGGTGTATGGAGAAACTCATTAGGTTATTATAATAAAAGATAATTATATGCGCACTTGAACTCATAATTAAGCTTAGAATGTATGATAAATGAATAGTTAGCTGTATTCCCATTAAAAAGGTTTTTTAATCATGAAAAGTAACAATTCACTTTCTTGTCCCAAGTTCAAATTGATCAGCTTATCAAACGTACAGTATGCTACAGAGCTAAAGAAAAAATACTGTCACATTTCGAATAATTTCACAAAGATATTCTACAAACAGCATCTTAGACAGCTATCAATAGGAATTCAATTCCAAAATAGCCACTGTGGTAATATTTATCTGAAAAATATTATACTTTGTTATTCCATAATACTTCAAGATACCTTTATAAGCAACTACTATATTTAAAATTTTTACGCTGTAGAACATAACTAATTCAAAACAGAGTCTTTGTCATATAAAACATTCATTCAGGTTATAGTAGTTTTGTAGAAAGAAGTTATTGTATGCAGATGTCAAGAATAATCTATCGGTTTCGCTGAAACTATATCTTTTTATGTTTTGCTGTATGCTCATACTCTGAATCATCTAGACTGTTGCTTATTAAACAACAACTTCTCTTGATCATACTGAAATCCGATAATTATGTAAACAATTCTGTGGCGTCATAATGTATTTTATTTGATATTGACTAGTGATATACTTTTTCAAAACCATGTTCACTTGCTATTTCATGCTCATTAGTAAAATTAGTTTGTAATCTTGTCGGATATGATAATTGGATGATGAACTGTTTGTTACGTATAACCTGTGGAAGTTGTTTTTAGAAGATATTCGAAGAAAAGCATTAAATTCAGTATATGATTTTCCCTAATAATTTGTTTTCCATGTTTTCGATAGTACTTTAAGGAAAATATATGTAGTTAGGAAAATGTTTTGAAAATTTTTGTTCAACAAGGTATACTTGAACAGGTTAGGGTTATTAGGTTAACCTACTTTGATCATACTTTAATGAAACCATATCCATAGCGGAAGAAGTAGTCTGGTTGAGTTGAACTCATTTCAATCTATCTTCACGACAAATATGGTTGATTCATATCAGATACACTTCAAAGTATTCATGTTTTTCAATCAAGCGCTTTTCGTGATGAAACATCAACCTTATATCCATAGCTTTGTTAGGCATGGTCATTTTTTATCATTTCTTACAAAACAAACATATGCCTATGCGATATGCCTCGAACAGTACATATATTAATATTCAACAGATTAATTTTCACTTGTTTTTAACAGTGGGATATACTGGTGTACAAAACATGTGTTTTGCAAGGTTAATCAATTCAAACATGTAAAATGAAATTTCATTCGAGTCAAAATTCAAACGATATTGAAAATTGCTAGTCAATCAATCTTCTTAATTTGTTCAATAAATGAAATTATGGTTGTGATCAAATTTAGGGTCAAAAAACTTGAATAATTTAAGATATTCAAAAAAGATTAAAAAACTAAATTGATCAGTTACTAGACCACTTAATTAGAGAACAATTTAAAGTTTAATGCTTATAAAATAAGCTTTCATTAATAATAATAATAATAATAATAATAATAATAATAATAGTAAAAATAATATTATTATGTGACTAAACAGTTTTCTGTTAATTATTAGCAAGGAGAATTAAATTATTCAGATGATATCAAATCACTAAATTTATACTTTTGTAGTAGACTTTTGTAATGAATTCTGACCCATTTAAAGAAAGAAACTGAATGAGATTGATATAGTTAAAATGTGTTGGACTTATAGAGAATGTTTTGCTTGAGCTAATCAAATCTTACTTTCTAATCATTTTGTTTGACCAAAAACTAATTAATTAATCAACGAAATCATCCTATTACTGCATCCTGGCTAACTTTAATTCGAATTAATCATCAACAACTATGCCGTAATGTCCCAATTATTTCTAGAGTGTTGTTGTTGAATTTTTCCTGTTGGGTTTTAAAAATGTTCGACATTCTTTTAGATACTGTCAATCTTTGAGTACAATGTATTTTTCGTCGGTGTACAATATGTACATCTAACAGTTCTGAACCAAACGCAAATAATTATGAAATGAATGAACTCACCATAAATGTGCTTAACTGATCTGAAATCAGAAGCTGTTGTGAACAGTCACAAGAAAATAAAAGCTGATACTACAAACAATACTAAAATAATCAATACATAACTGTTGGTCGGTTGGAAGTGATAAATCTTCCAGACAAATTCATTTGTGTCAAAGGTCATACTTGAATTTATGCCCAGAAAACATAAATCCTTTCAGGAAAACGATTATATATTGAGATTAATAGGTTTGATTATTTCTAAGGTCTTAAGTATGAGTTCATTGGTTTAAAATCTGTTTCAAAAAATCATCATAGCAAAGACATTTCAGAAATGTTTAAAATCTGCTCATTTTGTTCAGTCAGTAACTTTAGGAACTAAGCTAAGCCAATATTCAAGACATTGACATCCCACTGGTGTGTACTCAACAATATAATAGTTAAATTTAATTGACTGAAATAAAATTATTGTTTATGACAGAATACATATGACCTACGATCTTTGTATGTTATAATAAAAGTTTTGACAAAAAAATATTTTGCATGAAAAATTTGTTATCGTTCAACTAGTGATTAGTATGACAAACTTGTTGTTTTGTTTAAATCAGTCAGTGACGTGAACTACAGATGACACATTTTCAGTTCAAATTTCTCTTTACTGTTGAAGATATGGAAATATAACAAATGGAATTATTTCATTGTCTTCATGTTAGCGATAACACCACGAATATTTCAACACATATTTTACTGAATATTGAAGAATCCCATTGTGAACAAAGGATAAGTTACCTGAGTTGGGCTCCTCTTTGTGCATTAACAAATTCAGCTGCTCATGTGGAGATAGCTATATCGGGCGTACCTCCAGGCAAATTACACAATGAATGAGTGAACATCTCCCAGCATGGTTTACAAAGGGTCAGTCAAAAACAATACGCAGTTCTATCTTAGCACACCTGGTAGATAGTGGTCACATTGTAGATAAATCTAGATCTTTCCGGGTGATCTATCGTATACCTCCATCATTTCCAAACGGAGTTCGATCCCGTCTCCTACACATTGCAGAAGCCATAGGAATACGTATATTCAACCCTCATTTATGTGTTCAGAAGAAATTCGTGACTCCCTTATCTCTTCCGTGGCCGGATATGACGTAACTAACGATTGACATTATATATTTTCTTTATTTTTATTTTTAGACAGTTGCTTATTACGTAATGTTTTTGATGTTTTTTGATGATTATTTGAATTCTATGCATCCACCTTTGACCTACTTTAGTAATCATATTTTATAAATTTTCCTACTACTATCGGTTCACCTATATTCCTACTATCCACTTGTACTTATGCCTTTTTCATTTCATTGTGATTATCACTCAAATTGCCTTGATTGGTTTAACATTTTCATACAAATATTCATGTATATTAGAGTAAAGCCTAATGACAATCTAATCGAAAACAATATTGTTCGCTTACATGTGTTGTTCTAATATTTTACTGACTCCATTGGCTTGCAATCGATAAAATATGTTTACAAGCTGACGGTCTAGTAAAATCTGTTAGCGACATCCTCATTAACATTATCTGTTAGGAAACATTGAAAAACTAGTTTGTCAAATTGGAAATTTCTTTTAGAAAACTTTATTTCAAATTATATTTACTCGTATTACATGAAATAATTGATGTTATGACGAATTCGTTCGTTAGTAAGTACGTTTATAGATTGAATTCGTACGGTTTAGTTAATACTCTTGAATAAAACATAGTCAGCCAGCTGCCACATTAACTTAAAAGCATAAGAATGATATGACTCTGAAGGTGACAACAATGACTACATTCAGTTCATAAAGCAGGTGAACAAAAATTATTGCATGAGGATATGATTGATGATCATAAGATAATGGTCGTTACAAAGTAAATGGAATTCATAAATTTTCGTCACTAGCATTTGAATAATAAGGGAGGATAAGATTACACTCAGTTTAAAGACAGTGTAGAACAAAAAAATAAGAAGGCTGAAAAGAAAGCACTGTTTGTTTCTATATAGGTCTGTCTTCAGACTGCATGTAACTAATGCTTCGCAGTTTGACTTGACATTATCTCCATTTGAAGATAGTGAAACTGTTTTATGGGGATCATTCACCTACGTCACCTGACAGGGATCTCTAATACTAGGAAAGAAAACAGATCACATTGATTTTCGATAGATCTTTCTTTAGTTGGTAATTCCGTTACTATTTTATTATTTTTAATGGGAAATCCTTTTAAAATTTACTTTATTTGCTTCTATGCTTCAAAACCATTATAATGAATATTACCATTTTAAATTACTGAATAAATGTTTACCATATTTTACATTTCAGGATTCATCCTGGGCCGCATATCTAAGTATTCCAGTCGTGTTACAACTATGGACATTTTTATTCTTTTTTACTCCAATGGTTATAATGTCTGTTTTGTATGGGTTAATGGCAATACAATTAAGTCATTCGAACCTCGGTCTTCGTGCACAGACTAAGTTTAAACATGAAAAGGGTCAGTCATCATCATACAGTATATCGAAAACTCGTTCATCAGGAAATTGTCGAAGAGGTATTGTTAGAATGTTAGGTAAGTTGTAGTGAAATTAAATAATTAGTATCGTTTTAAACTACAAAGCAGTAGAAACACTATGGAATTCAGGATATTGTGTTAATTAATATACTTTCAAATATTTTTTTATCAAAGCATAAGAGGTTAATCTAGTTTGCTCATCTATAAGTAGCTAAAATTAAATTCTATGCACCACAGTTATTTATCAGGAAACCCATGTAGTAGTCTGCAAGGCTTATAGCAGACATATACGTTCAGTGCCTATAACGAAGTAAAACATATGAGGAAAACGAATCAAAATGAACTGATAAAATTGACAAGCACTTTAAAGTTACAAAGATACAAGAAAACTGTAAAACCGTTAATAGTCGCTTAGGTATATATTTGCACGAAATTAAGTATTGTTTGCATTGCTTGGAGTGTTCACAGAATTTCTCTGATTCATGAAACATTCACCTAGTATATTATATATTACTGACATCCGGTTAAAAATGTAGGTAATATTAGACCACTGTACCTAAACTTCAATGACTACAAGAAAGCATTTTATAATGTTGGACTGGATGACACTATGGAGGCTTCTTTGATACGATGGCGTTCCTAAGAAGATAATCCACATCATGCAGATTTCTTACATTGGATTAAACTGCGAAATCATTCGCGGAGGACGGCTGACAGACTCGTTCGAACTGAAGACCAGTGTCAGACAAGGTTGCTTACTTGCACACTTTGTATTTCTGATGATCGACTGGATTATAAAGAGATCAACATGTTAGGGAAGTATGGAATACAATGGACAGCCAGAATGCAACTGGACGATCTGGACTTTTCAGATGATCGGGTCCTTCTATGCCACAACAAAAAATGCAGGAGAAGACGATTGGTGTGGCAGCAGCTTCAGCAGCAGTAGGTCTCAACGTACACAAAGGAGAGCAAGATCCTTCTATACAACTCAAACTGAACCAACCAAATCACACTTGATGGAGGAGCTCTGAAGGGTTTAGAAACGATTACATAACTAGACAGCATCATTGATAAGCAAAGTGGATCCGATGCATATGTGAAGATACAGATCGATATAGCAAGGTCAACATTTCTGCAATTGAAGAAAATCTGGGACTCAAAACAACCAGCATCAAAGTCACAATTTCGATACAGATGTCATAAAGATTCTGCTGTATGAAACGGAAAATGAAGATACTGGTCGTACTAAGACTTACTTCTAACTGATTATTATATCGTACGTAAATGTGACATAATATTTTGGAAATGAAGGAGATTTCTGAAAACAAAAATATCAGATCAGTTTGATTTTAAATCATCTTCTGGAAGATATTTCCAGAAATAACTTATTGTGGAGACATCCAGGCCGTGTTGAAATGATAGTTAGTGCGATCAGGGAGTTAGTTTGAACATTACGTTGGCCGTTAGCAGATATCTCTAACTACATTCGTCTGACACATTTGGATCCACACTCGAATTACTTTCCCGTCATTATTATGACTTGAAACGCATAGCATTTTCTTCACTTTTAAGACCTATGATTAACAAAAGATATTCTGTAAACTTTTGGATGATAACTGATTAGTCAGTAAATGCTATCAGTGTGATGCATATCAAGTCCCAATTGTTTATTGAATTCGATCGATCGAATTGCGATATACCCACCAGTTTAAATTAATCGAAATGAATGCACTGTCTTGAGATCTTTTGTGTTTGGCCGTTGATTAACAGCTCTTCACCTTGGTTTCGTGCTATCTGACACTTGTCAGTAGGATGTTAAGGGGTAAGTGTAAAAAGGAAACTAGTTTCGGCCTAAATAACTCAAATATGTTATCCAGGATTGCTAAGTTAAATAGGATTGAATTCTCCAGGAAGCACCGGTTCCCTCAATATTACAGATGTCTTGCTAACGTTTGTCAAAAAGCTCATAACCCAGGTCTATTTTTCCCCGTTTGCTATCTCCGACCACTGAATAAATCAGCGTTGTGCACATCAAGCTAATTGGGTCAGTCGGCATATTTCGAATTGATTGATAGAACGCAATCACCAATCGCACGTATTTATTAAACTAAACAGCAGTGTATTAATGTTTCTATGAAGAAAGTTGGCAAACCTCAGTAGTACATTCTTTAGTTTTAATGTGTTATTAATTTGGTTTAAACGGTTGCATCATCACAAAAACAAGTACAAAGTAAATTAATAATGTTTCATTCACAGTAAGCTATTTGAAGTTGGAGGCGTTACATTCTCTAAATTTCAGATGATACAGCACCAGCATCTACATTATGAAGTACAAATATTCTTCATCATCACAAAATTGTTTCATGTTTGACTAGATTAAAGGACAAAAATGTTGAAGTAATGTTAAGGATTTTAAACTTTGTGTTTGTTAAGCATGTTTCATAGAAATTAAACTTCATGTCGTATAAATTAGTAAACCTCACAGCCACTCTGAAAAAGTGAGTAAAACTTATGCTATTAATGCTTTCAGATATCATTACGTATTTTATGGAAAATAGTTTTATCACATTTATATGAAGGGAATAATATTCAATTGGTGTTATTTTCATATTGTCCTAATTATAAACTTTTATTTAAGTCATTAGCTGTCTATATAAATTTTACCATTCCTAAATTGTCATTAATTAATCACGCACTTGATGTTTTCTTTTATGGCCCATATAACATAGTTATCTAAGATCGTGATACCGTAGTTGTGGTACGTTATGGTCGTGTAACCAATGCACATAATCTTATGTGTTTTTGGGTCTTTGAAATCGAGAGAATTTCATCTTACTGTCTTCAGTTTTTGAATGGCTATTGGAGATAGAAGTTGAGCCGGATCAATAAGGATTAGGATTTTCTGTGATTTTCGGCAGTAAGTAGTGTATCGGTTTAACTGGAGGTTACTGGTTAGACAGGTGTAAGCATATTTGTCATTAGCAAACTCTATAATCTCACTTACCAATGAAGTGGATACATAAAGGATTGAAGGTCATAACAGTATATAATTCTTCCAATAAATTTTGATGCATGTTTAACATTAAACTGAAAATTTGTTTATTAATTTAATGGACATATTATTCATGGAAAGTTCCTAAACTTTTACAAACATTTTTATCTTTAGTGGCTGTTGTGGTAGCTTTTTTCATCTGTTGGGCTCCATTTCATTTACAACGTGTTCTTACTTCTGCAAATGTTGAAATGACATGGTTTTTCATTGACTTCCTCTTCTATGTATCGGGTAAGTAAAACATTTATTTACATATTAAGATCATAAATTCTTTCATCTTACTTAAACATTTATTATTTAAATGTGAGTGGGTTGAAACTACTTTCGATTTACAACCGCAGCAGCTATGATTTAAATCGTAAATGCGCCTAAACTAATAAATGTTTATTATTGAATGAGTAACCGAAAATTAATTAGTATTTACTATCGATCAACAATCTGAATTCAAAGACCAAACACCCGTACTTTTAGGGTGTTTCTTTTTGGTAAGATTTTGTAAAATATAATTGATGAATAAAATATAACTAAATAAGCTTGGCTTACATTTATGACTTGTAACCAAAATGCATAACATTTAATAATTATCTTTATTTTCATCACATCAACGAGGTTAAACAGCTAATTATCATTTCTTTTCATCTGTTTATTTCTACGTTACTAAATTTTTCCTCAAAAGTGATGAAAACAGTGTTATTTCTCATTGCTTAGTGATTTCTGAGAGATTAAAATACTTCAAACAATAGATATTGCATACAGCTCAGCGCATTTAAGTAACTGATATTTTCTTTGAATTAAATAACTGCTGAGTTATACGGTGTCTAAGTGTTATACTGATACAAAAGTAACTTGTTTGTGTCAAACGGGATTAATTTTTTAAGTGAGTGCGTGAAATTTATTTTTAAACCCCTGACTCCTGATAGTCATCTGTCCTCTTCTCTTGCTAGTCAAAAGCGTCAATATGATTTGCCATTAAAATGCATATTATTGGACCCGTAAAAGTAGTGATTTTAGTTAGGCCTAACAGTTTTACCCGCAGTTGTTATCAGTCATGTCTACTTGAGGTGGTGAGGCCGTAGAATCTTGTGAAATATAATTTTTTTAAAGGTGTTATCATTACTCTTCAACTTCGTTAGGCTAATTTTAAGTTTCAGTATTACTAAATTTGTAGATGGAACAGAAAGCAAAAATGTAAGTAAGACGAAATCCAACTGAGAGTCTCAACTAGTATCTACTGTAAAAAGATGAACATTTATTCAACAGGAAAATCTTTACATTTAAAAATCTTGTAAATCAGTCAGCTCTTTTCTTGTTCTTAGGAGGTAACAGACGAAAGCAGTCTTTACTATTTCCATTTTTATCAATAATCATACTTAACTATTAGTAAATCCATTACCTTGTGCTTACTTTTTTTTTCAGGATTCCTTTACTACTTGAGTGCAACAGTAAATCCGATTCTTTATAGTCTGATGTCTGCAAGATTTAGACGGGCATTCGTTTCTACATTTAGAATAAAACAAACAAGGGCAGGTATGTCATGTGTGCATCCAATTGTTTCGATAAGGATTGTTAAAATCAATAGACGTGAACAAAATATGTGCTCATTGGCGGATAATAAACAATCACCTATGCAACGTACCTCTCTGTTGCAAGAGTGTAACACCAAATATATTTGTTCTAATAGTCTTATGAACAAAGCTAATGAGTCAGAAATATAAAAATTAATTAATTGATGTATTGTCTATGTAGGTCAATATAACTTTTTTGGCATACTTCATTCCTTGGTTCCAATCAAAGATATTAACGGTGTACCTGCTTTGATAACATGTTACTCATTCATTTCATATATAATGTATCGTCATCTGTGTTGTCCTGTTTAGTTTTTATGATTACGTAAAATGCTAAACAAAACTGAACGATTTTATAATGGTGATGATTGTTGCTAAAAAATGGATTTATAGAACTCTAAAGAAAATTAACTAACAAATATCAATGTGAAATATATTGTGTGGTGCAGACAGAGATTTCATAATACTGCGACTTAACATAGGGCTATGGTTACTATCGATAATACTACAATCAAAAATGTATTCAGTCACAAACTAGTACTGAACAGGTGGTAGAATATAATTTATCTGATTCGAGTGGGATCATAGTTATTCTCCATATATGGAAATTTCAAAAGTATTTCATGCAAGATGCCATAATAAAAAAGTTGTTCTCATAGTACTTTCAGCAATCAACAGCAACTGAAATGTCGAAAATTATTGTAATAAAAATGCAAATATTTGAGGCGTATTTTGTTTGCGTGCACAATGACAATGGAAAATATCAAAAAAGTCTGTTATAATGCAAATTAGATATGCCTTAAGAAAGTATACTGGGAAAATGTTCAATATCTTTAAAAATCACTGGATTCCTAGATTTGGACAACTGTGTTTATACTGTCATCAAATATTAATGAAGAAATAGGTCCAATTATTATAAATGAAGAGATGCGACCGTTAGCACATTTACAAAAACCCTTTTCTACGTGTCCTAATCATTTTTTAATTACAGCTAATCACTATCAAGACAACTTTATTGGAAATGGACAAATCATTTTACTCCTTATAAACTATTGCTATTTAATTTTATTTTCGGGTGAGACCTATTAAATACACTTTGTTTCATTGCATACTTGGACATTTTATTTTCATTCTTTGAACAATCGTCTTCTCGTTATCGCCTGTAATATGTTATGATAAAGAGAAGTAGCAGTATTAGACACAAAATACGAAGTAGTATTGGGTTATGTCGCGGTTTCCATCTAGCCTGAAGATACTTTGGAAACTAGGGAGGGCGTACAGCTAGGGCAGAGAAGAGCAAGAGAAAAGGTGAGTTGATAACTCAACACGCTCACAGAACTCGCTCGTATCTAAACATGAAAGGAATTACCAATGATCAGCAGCAACCATGCTTCAGAATCAGACAATCCGGAAATCGGATCCAAATGTAGTTAGTGTAAGGTTCTAAAACCGCTACAGTCATAGTGGAGTTTTCAATCGATTTATGGCACGTGCTTATACTATTGAATAAAGCATTCTTCACTTCTCTGATCCATGTACCGGTTTTTCACATGTGACAAGAAATCAACATTTCATCAATGTCATAATAATAATAGGTAGATTGAAACGTCCAAGAAAAGACAATTCGTAACAGATGATCCTCTGAACACAAGTATTCGTAGAACGCCTCAAAATCGATTTCTGAAATATATTAGATTTGACACTTTGAGTATCAGTCAGTCTGGAGCCCGTGTTATATTTTTTATCTTTATGCTCATGACTGGCGGCGAATCAATTAGGTCAGAACTAGAATACAAATGTTTCGGAATATATATTTAAGTACTTGAATTAACTGGCTTGTACTATAAAAGTCTATAATCAAAGTATAATAGAATTGGGTGGACACAAGTAAACTGAAAAATACTACCGATAGAAAATTACCAGAATAAGACCTTTTTGTAATTAAATAGGATTATTATTGACACTAACATTAAGAATAACTGGCATTTATATTGGAATGGAAAATATACCCGTAAGTGAATATGATGAGTCCCTAGAACATTTATTGCATAACTATTTCATATTGTGTTTAAACCGGTTACAAATCGTAATACTATTCCATACTGCTTACTTCGAATTTGAGGTCTTGCTTGCGTTTTGTTTAAGTTATAGAGTTATTTAGACTAACGGTTTTTTGAGTGGTACAAATGATTTCAACTAACCTTATATAGAATCACTGGACATGGATAGAATTTATTGAAAATAATATTTTTCGTTTGGTTGTAATGTGACCATATTTTTAAACTGATAATCACATATCCTGACAAACCTATTCTTCTCCCACCCAACAAACGGAAAAAATTATTAACCGATCATTTTCACATAACAGCACTGAACACATGTGAAAGGGCACAGTTCAGAAGTTTAGTTTGTGTCCCAACTCAGACAATTAGATTTCAAACCATAGCTCCAAGCATTCACTAAATCTGAAAACCAGTTGATTGAAATACTGTTCTGTGTTTTCAAGACATCTAAAGACTTCTGTTTCAATCCAGAAGATGTGATAATTATTCTCGTAGTGTTATGAATCAACATTATGTGCTATTATCAAGTATGAATAAATCGTCTAGTCGACAGAAACAACAGATTTCATCAAGCAGGAACAGTTCCGATTTATTCAGACAGGTTAAAAACCCGAAAAGCGTGTTAGGTACTCTTTCATGTGATAAACTACTCCTTCGTAGTTTAAGTTTGCTTCATTATGTGCTCTGCCACAAATGTGGAGAGGATCTGTAGGATTTGATTTGCCTACAGATGAATTTCTTGAATAAGTCCCTATACTGCCGCACAGAGTCTTGGGATGACTATGGTGAAAACGAGTTACCATGTATGTAATTAACAACTATAATCTGTTTCCAACAAGTAAATTAATGCGAACCCAGAAAACAGTAGTTAATTACAAAGAGAACTATGAGCACACATATCGAACAGTAACAGGAATACAACGGCTTTTCACGCAACGTCATCAAAAAATATCAAATGCGAAAATCAACAGAGCGAAATCAAATACAAGAACCAACAAATGGATCATCCTACCATATATAAAAGACCTCAGGAATTACAGCACGAGTGCTGAAACCATTTGGAATAAGTGTAGCCTACAAACCAACAGAATCACTTCAATCAATCTAATGTAAACCACAGAACAAAATGGCTAAAGAAGAAAAACCAAATATCGTCTACAAAATAAACTGCTCAAACCGTGACAAACCCTACATAGGATAGAGTGGAGGTCGTCTTCAGCTTCGTCTGCGTGAACATCAATTAGTAGTCGAACTCTATGACATTTCTTCTCTTATATGAATACACATGGACAATTGGAACAATTTTGAAGTACTGAATGGAGAGAGGGATTATAAAGAACACTAGAGGATTTTTAGAAGCTTGGCATTCAGGTCAATCAGTGATCAACAAACACATTGACACTGAGCCATTCCATCAACCAATCAGAAAAGTCATAGGCATACATAGGATCAAAAGACAGATCAAAGGGGGATACAATCAAGATAAACGTGCAAGCAACAATAGGTTTAAAGCCAATGACAACCAATCAAGACCGAGGTTAACCGAACGAGCAAGAGTCACAGATGGAGAAATCCGAATACGGCACTTCTCTCTGAAGTTTGTGCTGATGATAAGAGCTCCATAACCAAAAATTCCAGCTCAGAGAATGAAACCCATCATGAGGGTTAGTCATGTTTATATAGCTGACCCAATTGCATGACTGTTTGTTAAATAACAAGGGCCAGAGTAGTAAACAGTCTGAGATTAAATGAGTGTAAGGTGGTGGGCGTTCAAAATGAATATCCAATGCAATCGGTTGAGATCAACAGGTTGAAAAAATTAAAACCACTCGACCACCAGTTATCCATTATTGGTACAGTTATTATTCTGTTGAGGAAAGAAGAGAGTATTTGATACAATACTCTCTTCCCAGTTCCTATGGCTCGTTCGGGCTTCGGTTAAAGAGTTTTTGAATACTGGACGTCTGCGTTTCTTTAGTCCTCGATTTTTCTGATATAATCTTAGAGTGGGACGAGTTGAGGTTGACTATGGACACTATTACAGACCAATTACGTTCCCATCACTAAATATCATATCTCCATGAATCAAGGACAGGGAAGAGGTTTTAAAACATACAAGGGAATGTATTTGCTGGCGATTTCGTATTGTCGAATGAATATCGAAATCGTGCTAGAAAAGAAGGGTGAAGTCACAGTATGCAGTATAGCCAAAATGGAAGCAACGCAAACGGAACGTTTACGCGTACAGAGAAGGAATAAACAAACAGTACCGTTAAACAATTGGTTATAATAATAAATGTTTCTATTAAACCAATCGCGTTCTCTTCTTAAAAGTGGAATCACTACAACCTTAATCAAGGATCTGATCTCATGATGCTTGAAGGCCATCAGAGATATGAAAATTCAACCAGTACATTTGGAAGTAAGAGGAGAGCTCATCTTGAAAATCGGGCTAATTCCACACGGCTTAAGAGGGGCTATAAATAATGAGTTTGATTAACTGGTTATGAAAGGAATAATAATCCCTTTCGAAACGTTCAGTTAGGCTACTCACACTATGACTTCGTTGAAGGGGAATGGAAAAATGCCTAGGAATTTTGACTTCTGTTTGAAGCTTAACACTAGGTCATTGAAGCAGGATTTTACCACTGATACTATTTAATCGCATTTGTGATATAAATGTGTCAGTTTCGAACTAAATCTATCAAATTTCTAGGCTATGCTGTGCATACTAATGGTTTCAGACCTGAGAATAGCAGTGTCGCCTACGAATATTTTAGTACTCAGATCATGAATCACTGTTCTTCAATTTGAACTCAATTTTATTTCTGATTTTACACAAATATTATCTTCACTCTACAAATACCGAAACCGTAGTGAAACGACTACTGTCATCATG